TGCACTTTGAGATTGGTGGTGGTATGGATGGCTGCATTGGAACTGTTTCTGAAGGACTGGGGAGGGAACTGGGAGCGGAAGAAACCTTGATTTTATTTTATAGCATATCCACATTGGGCTTGAATGCCTGCCTGCTATGCAAGTTGTTGGGGCTCAAATCTTCCAAGATCACAGTGGGCTCTCTGTTGTTGAAGAACAATCATAGAGTGTTCTTTTCATCACTCAGATCAGTATTTCTGGGTCTAGCGTCCTTTGTAAGCAGGAAGAACCCTGGCTTGCTTTTTGAAATTAGCTAAGCCATCTTTACGGTAAGGCAGAATGAGACAGGCATTTCAGGGAATAGATTCTGGGTGCCATGGAAGGGCAACACAATGATACTTATTTAATTTTGTTGTTTTGATATTACATGTCACAAAAGATTTTTGTGAGATTTTCTGTCTCATGTACCAAAATAATTTGCTTAGCTTTCAATACTACTTGAAGATAGATGCATTAATATTAAACACAATTCAAGGCACTGGAATACTCATTGTATTCCCTCCCCCCTTAAAGTCTAGAAAGTTTCATATATAAATATTGCAGCAGCAATTTTATGTTTCAGATGTTCAAATATAACATGCATTACGTTTATAATTTAGCGAAGTAAATCAGTTTAGTTGACTCTGCAGCTAGGGCCAGCTTTGTTGCAACATCTGTTTACTTGCTGCTTCACAAGGAAAATAGCCACAGCCCAATTGTAGCAAATCTGATTGTTTAGCAGATACTGAATTTAAGAGCTTTTCTCTTACTGACCAAATGACCAAAAAAAAAAAAAAACCCTAAAGAAAATAAAGAAGTTGCACATTTGCATCTATGTGGGGCTGCACTTGAAGACCACCTGGAAACTTCAGCTGGTCCAGAATGCAGCAGTGCGAGCAGCGATGGGCACGCCTCGGTATGCTCCTGAAACACCTCTGCTTCACGAGCTGTACTAGTTGCTGGTTTGTTCTGGGTGTGATTCAAAGTGCTGGTTGTTACCTATAAAGCCCTACATGGCATAGGGACTATCTGTCTCCCACAGTATCCTGCAGGGTTGGCGTGCTCCAGGTTCCTTTGATTAAACAATGTCATCTATTGAGACCCTGGAAGCATGCCTTCTCTGGTTTCCCCTGAGATCCAGATATCCCCCACTCTGCTGTTGTTTAGAAGACCCATGAAGACCTGGCTTTTCACCCAGGCCTTTGGTGAGGGAGAGGGTGACCCCTTGGTTCATCATGCTTGCCATCTTTTATTTTTACGTTGTACTGATTTGATTGTAATTTCTTTATTTGTTGTGAGCCGCCCAGAGTCATTGAGAGACTCTGCATTGCAGAATAAATGTTTAACTTATTATAGTTGGCTGCACAGTCAGCCAGAAGTTTAGGCTGGATTTTGCATTTTTATCCACCTATCGAGTCTTTCCCGGGATAGGTAGATGTTGTTGTTTGGTGGTGTTAAAGATATCATCACAGGATGTAAGCTGTTCCAAGTAAAGCTGCCTTTTACAATAGACTGATGGTGATTTTGTCAATGCCAATGGTGTTCAAGTGGTGCTCCAGATGTTTTGGGATTGCACCCAAGGCACCTATTACTCTTAGTACGATCTTTGCTTTCTTTTGCCACAGTCATTCTATTTCTATTTGCAGATCTTTGTATTTTGTGATTTTCTCCAGTTCTTTCTCTTCTCTTCTGCTGCATTGGAATATCTGCAAGAAATATCATTTGCCTGCAAGCAAGAACTGGTGGGACCACAAAACAGACAAAGTGATAGAAAACGAAGAAGATAAAGTGCTCTGGGACTTTAGAATTCAGACAGACAAGCACCTGCCACATAACACCCCAGACTTAATAAGAAAGACAAAAAAGTCTGGATAGTGGACATTGTTGTTGTTGTTGTTGTTGTTATTATTATTATTTATATATAGAGAGAAAAATGCATGTAATTTAATAAAAGGCATGTGATGGGGTAGATTATAACTAAATGACTTATGAGTCTCCTCAGTAAATTTGTTAGTCATCAGCTTCAAGGCTCCTGATCTTTTTATAACTTAATTTTTCAGTCAGAGATGGACTAGAAAACCATTCAAAACTAAGGAATGTCTTCTGTAAAACAGGGCATGTGGCCACCCTATTTCATCTGCTGATCCATAGAAATCTTGGTTGACCTGTTGCAATTATTAGAGAGGGATTTTCTTTTAAAAAAAAAATTAGGAAGTCTTTCATTAACTTGCTATGCTCTGGTATGGTATTTGGGTTCCACTGCAGATTTCTATGTTTTAGAAAAAAAAAAAAAAAAAAGCAGGAACCCAGGAGATATACTGTCACTATGATGGCTGGTAATTATTTTTATCAAACTTTTAAATCAGCAAGCAGGACTGAAATACTTTGAAGATCATGTAAAAAGTACAAAATGCCAACCCATATTATCAGCCACAGCAGTAAAAAAAGATGTTGAGAGGCACATGGGGGCTACTTGCATGCTGTATAAACTTGTGTAGATTTACGGTAGAGTTAGTAATTTTGGATTCTAGATCGTTATGTTACATCTTGTCAGTATCAGAGAAAGATTCAATCCACAAGTATATGTGAACCAAGAAACAACTTATTGGGGACCCTATAACAGGATTTAATGATTCTGCAGGAGTTCCTTGCTTAAATGATAAAATATATTACTTCAAAACCTGGTAAGTCAGGTTTTGCTATACATCAGGTCTTGCTTCTTCACATCCTGTCCTGAGAGCACTTCAGGGGTGGGGGGACATTTTCTAAATGGTTGTGACAGTCCTCTTGTTGAAGAGCTATTTAGTCCAATATCAGTTTTAAAATAAGGAATTGTATAAGAGGAGAGAAAGGACATTAAAGCTGACAGTGAAACCAGTGATTAAGATACTACTCAGCTCAGTGGATGTTTTGGGGTCTCTCTCTAACGTAGTTACTGTCTTCTGCACTATTTTCTTCTGCATTGTTCCATTTCTATTTAAATTCTGTTTTCCTTTCTTCCTTCCTTCCTATTTATGTATTACAAGTTTTGATGTATTTATCTACGCAGTGTACAGAATTCAAAATATTTCTGAAAACAACAGACTATAGTAATATAAAACCCAATAATAAAAGAAAATAATAAAATGTGTAATAGAATAGATTCAGTTTGGCCATGCTGCCATTGGCTCTCAAATATGATTTTTTTTCCCCATCCACCTAAATTTTAGTACAAGAGCCAGTCTGGTGTTATGGTTAAGGCACCAGGCTAGAAACCAGGAGAATGTGAATTCTAGACCTGAAAGATATAGATATATATATAACAGTTGTAAAATCAGATTCTTCCCACAAACTTAAGTCTTGAGGAGTTTTCCTGGTGACAATACAGAAGTGACTTGAATGCTCTCTTTCTAGAAGGAGGCAACTGTAGAGAATGAACAAAGCAGAAAAAGCCCTCATACCAAATGAAATCTTTGCTTATCCATCCAGCTTCAGAAGTAAAAGCTGTTCATTCACAGGCAGTTTGTTGAAGACATAATATGGAAGATTTAAAAGAGGATCCGGTAAAAGCTACAATAGAGATCCTGACTGCAGTATAGTAGTTGGTAAAACAATGCTGGGAACTTTCCAAGGAGGAGACACCTTTGAGTCAGGGAATTTCGGGTTTGATACTGAGCCATAGCAAAGCTGGGAAACACAGAGGTGATACCAAAAGAATGAGTACATACCACAGAATGAGTCACAGTCCTATTATTCAATGGCCTTTTAATAGCAACCCTCTTGTTAGTCTTGTGACCCCACTGAAGTTCAGCTTGGACGCTCACCTACATTCTCCTGTCAGTATCCAGAATTTCCTAAGCTGGGTCACTGGTTGCATGAGGGTTTCTGTACGGATGGAATGATTTAAGAGAATTTTCATGGCTATATTATTTACCATATGCTCAGAGGAGGTGCAGTTCTCAAAGGAAAGCAGCCACCAGGATATAATTTCTCAAAACTGAAAGAAGGGTGGGGAGATTGCAAGACTGTGTGGCAACCGTACAACTTTTCCCAACTTGGATGCCCTGCAGACATGTGGTCATCAACTCCCAAAAATCCCCAGTCAGCGAGCATGGCCATAGGTGAGAATTATGGGATCCACATACCTGGGAAACATCCAGGTTGGGAGACTGCTCTATGCTTATATGAGCACGTTGTATCTACATTTATTGATAAATATAGAGGTTAAGCCACATAGTGGAGGTGCACTGCGTAAGTTCACTCCAAAAGCCACAGACTAGAATTCCAGGAAGACAGACCATCTTCAGAAATCTAATAAATCTCAACTATAATATTAAAAATAATGGTTACAAATGGCTACACCTGAGCTTAAATCAAAAGGAGGAGTTAATGGGAGTGGAGTACAGAACTGTATTCAAAGCTATTGGCAATGTTTAGTATGAAAGGAAATTCAGTTAATGGGACTAGAGGGTAGAAAAAAAATATAGTGGTAAGGAAGGAATTAGCCACATCAGAGGTGTATGCATGACTTAACTTGTATTTGATTTTTATTTTTTTAAAAATAACCATCAATTTTAAATTAGCACGAGGACATGTGACATAGGTTTCTGTTGAAATGTGCATAGATATATTGCCTTATTTTACTGTTTTTCCCTGAATATAATAATATACCATACTTAGAGCAGCTATGACATGCCCCCAGGACTGGCCCGGCTGCACTGATCTCTTTCTGGCAATATCATGGAAGGCCCTTCCAAATGGGGCTTCAGCACCACTCTGTCTCTACCTCTACCTCTACCTCTACCTCTACCTCTACCTCATCTATATCTCTATATAATTTCTACAAAGTTTTAATTAGTTTGGCATAACAAGTATTAGTGAGAATATGTGCAAGAGTATCTTTCTCCAAACACAGGGAATTATATTATGTTTGTGTCTCAAGCTACAGTTTTTTGAGAGTATAAATGAAATCCGTCTGAGTCTGCAATTAATCTCTCCAACAGCCCTCCCTTGTCTGGACCAGAAGAAACGGATCAATAATAACGGAGGATGCTCTTTTCTCGCTCTTGCTCTTCCTCCTCCTCCTCCCCCTC